TGTGCCATGCCATGCCATACTGCACCGTGATACGCCATGCCGTGCCACGCTGCACCACGCCATGCTGCGCTGTGCCGTGCCGTGCCCTGAGCTGGCTGGGCAGCACCGAGCTGTTCCTGGGGGGTGTTAAGGGAGGTGGGTGCGGGGGGGGGGGGGCAGCGATCCCTGTCCCTGTGTCCCCTCCCCGGTGCCGCTCCTGTCCCCTCCGGGCTCTGCCCGACTCTGCGGCCCTGGGGGGGGGTAAGGGTGTGTGTGTGCACTCCCGTGGCCCCCTGTGCCCCTTTTCTAGTGCCCCATGGGCACTTTTCATAGTGACCCCCCACTAGTTCCCGTGGCACGGGGGGGGTCCAGGACCCCAAGCATCATCTCGGGGGCACACGGTGTGCCACCCTGGGGGGACGTGGGGTGTGGGGGGGACAGGCACCGCATCTGCGCCCTGTGTCCCATCAGGGTACAAAGCCATGCAAAGCCCCAAGCCAAGCGTGCAAAGCCGCGCAAAGCCCTGAGCCAAGCCCAAGCCCCAAAGGGACGGATCCGGCGTTGAGGCTGTGCAGAGGGGTTGCCAACGGCTCATGGTCTGCCAGGCCTTCGTCCTCCTCCTCCTCCTTGGCTCCGGTCTCCTCTCCCCATCTCAGCTTTGGGACAGAGGGGTCAGAACTGTCCCCCCAAGGGATCGGGGTCCTCCCCCAGTGGTGGCCGGTGGGTCCAAAGCCTGCAGGACCCCCGGTGCTCTGGCTGGGCAAAACCTGTACCCGGAGCCAGGAGAAACTAACGGCACCTCGCCGGCTGCCAAGGACACCGCGTGCCTGGCAAGGGGACATGGTTTGCCAGCAAAGGGATGGGCTTTGTGACCAGGGGACAGGGGTTGCAACAGGCGAAGGGACAGCTGAGGGTGCTCAGGGTGCCGGTGGCTGCTGGCACCCACCGCGGTGTGGGGAGGGCAGGGTCCCCTTTGCTCCCCCCACCCTCCCCCTGGCCTGGCTCCAGGTCCCCGACGCACACGGCGAGCAGATCCCCAAAGATCATCGACTGTCCGGTAGCCCCAGCTGCGCTGCCGAGACCTTGCCAGTGCTGGCAGACTTTGCTCCTCGCTGCCGAACCAGGCACCAGCAGCCATGGAGCCGGTGGGCACTGTCACCACCATCCTCCTTATCCTGGTGGTCGTGGCCCTTGTGGCTGGGTGGAAAAAGGAATGGCGGAGCCAAAATTACCCGCCGGGGCCGCTGGCGTTGCCGGTCATCGGGAACCTGCTGCAGCTCAGGGCTGCCAACACCTGCAAGACCTTCTGCAAGGTGAGTGGGGGGGCCAAAACCCCCGGGGTGCCGATGCCAAGACCCCCGGGGTGCCGTGACCCACACCGGGGCGGGGGCTTGTTGCTTTGTGCCGCAGCTGAGCAAGAAGTACGGCCCCGTCTTCACCCTACACTTGGGCTCGGAGCGGGTGGTAGTGGTCTTCGGCTATGAGGTGGTGCGGGAGGTTTTGCTGAACCGTGGGGATGAATTCACCGACCGGGGTCGGTTCCCGTTGACGGAAAAATACAACAAGGATCTCGGCATCTTCATGAGCAATGGGGAGATGTGGGTGCAGACCCGGCGCTTCACCCTCACCACGCTGCGGGATTTTGGCATGGGCAAGAGGAGCATGGAGGAGTGGGTCCAGGAGGAGATGGGGCTGCTGCTGCAGGAGCTGGCGCAGACCAAAGGTGGGCGGCAGGGTCGCGGTGGGATTGTGGTGGAGCTGGAGAGGGGGGTCCGGCCCTGCCATCGTCACCATCCCCACCGCCATAGGGCAGCCCTTCAACCCTGCCATGCTGCTGAGCGCAGCCGTGGGCAACACCATCTGCCGCATCCTCTTCGGTGAGCGCTTCAGCTATGGTGACGAAGAGTACCGCCGCATCCTCCGGTGCCTTGCCGAAAATTTCCGCTTGGAGAGCTCCATCGCCGGGCAGGTGAGACGTTTTGGCAGGGGAGGGGGGGAGGGGGCCCTCTGGCCCTGGCCTTGCCAACGCCGTGCCAACTCACCGGCACCGTACCGCCTTGCCGGCATCGTGCTGCCTCGCCGGAATCAATGGCACCTCGCTGGTATCCATGCCACCTGGCTTTTTCCCGGCAGCTCTACACCATCCTGCCCAGCTTGATGAATCACCTGCCCGGCCCCCACCAAACCTACTTCCAGAACAATTCTATCATTGAGAAATTTTTGGCTAGGAAAGTGGCGGAGCACGAGGCCACCCTGGATTCCGGAGCACCCCGGGATTTCGTGGATGCTTTCCTCTGCAGGATGAAGCAGGTGGCGTGAGGGGACCCCTGAGCATCACGTTGGGGACACACACACACACACACGACACCAGAATGTGGGCTGCCATGCCGGGGGGGGGAAACAACATGGGGCTGGGGGGAGACAGGAACCTGGGATTTCATGGCCACCCTGGGATTCTGGGGACACTTTCCTCTGCTGGCTGGAGCAGAGGCAGGGGTGTAACTCCCTCCTCTTTCCTGTCCCGTCCCGTCCCCCCCCAAAAAAATCCAGGAGAAGGGGAACCCCAGGACGGCTTTCAGACGGGACAACATGTATGTGACGGTGTTTGACATGTTCATGGCCGGGACAGAGAGCACCAGCATCACCCTCCGCTACTGCCTGATGCTGCTGCTGGAGCACCCCGAGGTGGCAGGTGGGGGGCACGGCCATGGGTGCTGGGAGCGGGGGGGGGGAACAGACCCTCCCCCCCCCCCCCCCCCTTCCCCCCCTCAAATGCCTTCCTCAGGGAAGGTGCAGGAGGAGATTGAGCGGGTGATGGGGAGGGAGCGGAGCCCCAGCCTGCAGGACCGGGGCGCGATGCCCTACACCGAAGCTGTCCTTCACGAGACGTTGCGGTTCCTCGACCTCGTCCCCCTTGGCTTCATCCGGAGGGCGAAGTGGGATACGCAGCTCGGTGGCTTCACCATCCCCAAGGTGCCGCTCGTTAGGCGAGGCTGATTCCTCATTAATCGCTCCCAATTAATCACGGATTGCATTGCTCGATCATTGATCATCAATCGCACGACCCTTCAGCAATACCATCGATTAGAAATCATTCTTAACTGCACGATGTTCTGCATTATTGGCTATTAATTGCATGATGCCCTTCATTACTGCTTATTGATTGCATGTCCACATGTTAATCATTGATTGATCGTCTGATGTGCTTCATCATCGATCGACTGACCCACAAGCTGCATCAGTGCTTACCAATGGTGCCGCATACTTAATAATTGACTATTAATTGCACAACCTGCTTCGCCCTTGCTTATCAATTGCTCGTTAATCATTGATTAGTGTTTGCACAGCCCTGATTTTTGATTACTGATGGCGTGGTGTGGTTAAGCATTGATTACGGCCCCCACGCAAGCCGCAGTTGGAGGCTGGGGGGGTCACCCGCAGCGTCCCCCTCCCAGGGTTGCACCATCTACCCCATCCTGAGCTCAGCCCTGCAGGACCCCCGCCACTTCAAAAATCCTGAAGCCTTTGACCCCCGTCACTTTTTGGATGAAAAGGGGGAGTTCAAGAAAAGCGAAGCCTTCTTGCCCTTCTCTGCAGGTGGGTGGCACATAAAGACCCCCCGCCCTACATTGGGGAGCAGGGGGGACAACCCAGGTGACCTCCCCCCCTCTCTTTTCACCACAGGGAAGCGTATGTGCCTGGGGGAGAGCCTGGCACGGGCGCAGCTCTTCCTCTTCCTCACCGCCATCCTGCAGCGCTTCCAGCTCCGGCACCCCCCCGGCCGCCCCCACCTCGACCTGCATCCCGACGTCAGCGGCATCATGAACATCCCCCGGCCCTTCGAGCTCTGCTTCTGCCCCTGCTGATGTGCCCCCCCCAACCCTGAGGTGCCACATCGCACCCCAGAATGAAGACCTTCCCCCTCCCTCAATGCATTTGCCCCCCCCTTCACAGCATAACGGCTTGTCCCCCCCATAAACAGCTCTTTGCCTCTGCAACCCATAGCTGTGGCTCTGTGTCCCCCTCAGAGCCCTCCCTGGGGGGGGGCGAATGACACGAGACCAGTTGGGAGGGGGAGTCTCGGTGACCCCAAACAGGAGCAGGGTTCCCCCCCGAGCCTGTGGAAGCAAAGACATGGGATGCATGGGGGAAAGCGAGGTGGCTTTACTTGGCGGGGGGGTTTCAACGGGGAATGAGGGAGAGGCGATAGGGTCGGGGGATGTTCCCCAACCCGCTGGATTCGGGGGTGATGTCAATGGTGGCCCGGTCCTCCTCCGCCTTCAGCTGGAAATGCTGGAGGATACTGGTGAGGAAGATGAAGAGCTCCATCATGGCCAGGCCTTCGCCGAAGCACATGCGTTTCCCTACAAGGCAATGGCCATCAGCGTCTCTTACCAGTAGGCTGGGGGTGGTCTGTGGCCTCGCACCCCCACCCCGGTCCTCCTCCTTACCTGCGGAGAAGGCCATGAAGGCATCATTACGTTTGAAGCGTCCATTCTCGTCCAAAAAGTGCCGGGGGTCAAAGGCCTGGGGGTTGGCAAACTGGCTAGGGTCAAAATGGGATGTGCAGAGCAGCGGGATGACATTCATGCCCTGGGTGCAGAGGGAGAGGGGGTCAGGGGGACCACAGCAGGTAGGGAGACGGTTCCTGCAGCACTCCGCGGACATGGGGGGCCCTGACATGGTACCCCAGGGATGCTGCGGTACCCCAGGGATGCTGCAGTACCTGATGCAGCACCCCAGGGATGCTGCGGTACCTGATGCAGCACCCCAGGGATGCTGCTGTACCTGATGTGGTACCCAAGGGATGCTGCGGTACCCCAGGGATGCTGCAGTACCTGATGCAGCACCCCAGGGATGCTGCGG